TTTTTAGTTGTCCGATTAATTTCTTTCTATTTTTAGTAGAGACGGGGTCTCGTTCTTGCTCAGGCTGGTTTCGAACTCCTGAGCTCAAACAATCCGCCCGCCTGGGCCTCCCAGAGTGCTAGGATTACAGGCATGAGCCACCACACGCGGCCTACAACTGATTTTGTATATATTTGAGTTCAGCAATCTTGTGTAATTCATAAATCCTAATATTTTATTGTAGGTTTCTTTGGATTTCCTACATACATACCCCAATCATCCAAGGATAGTAATTTTGTCCCTTCTTTGCTAATCCTTTATATTTTTCTTCCTCCCTCCCCACACAATTATTGGCATTCCTGCATTAGCTAAGACAAACAGTATGCCATATGAAGGGATGAGAGTAGGCATCTTTCTCCTGTTTTGTATCTCAAGAGGAACACTTCCAATATTTTACCATCAGATTTGTCTTAGGGTTTCCGTAGATAATCCGTCATGTTGAGGAAGTTACCTCCTATTCTGAGTTTACCAAGAATTTGTTTTAATCATAAATAAATACTTTACCAAGTCCTGCATCCATTGTGAGGTGATAATGATTTCTACCCTGGCAAATTACACTAATTGATTTTTAAATTGTTAAACTGACATTGCAGCACTCCTGAGTCAAACTCAATTTTTGCAGATAGTTGAACTTGGTTTACTAGAACCTTATTTAGGACAACTCCATCTATTTTGTGGGTTACAGTGGACTGTAGTTTTCCATTTCTATAAAATTTTAAAATTGACTTTAGTTTCAGGGTTATGCTAGCCTCATAAAATGAACTGAAGAATGTTTCTTCTTTTTCTTTTCTTTGGAAGAGTTTGTTTAAAGCTGCTGCTATTTCTTTCTTAAATGTTTCATAAACTCTCCATTGAAGCCATCAGAGACAAGTTACAGATTTGTTACAATTATTTGCAAACTCACTGCGGTCTGAGAGTGCTGCCTGAAACAGTTTCATAAATTGTAGGTTCTTCCTTCAGTACAGTGGATTTTTCAGATCAGAGACACAAGCCACTGCTAAATTGGACATATTTGTCTATGAAGTGCTATTTTAATGGTGTCTTCAACTTCTTCCCTTCCATCATCAGCACTTTATTTTTCCTTTTTTCACTTCATGAGTTTCAGTGCATGCATCAACACAGGGTAACAACAAAGAGTCACTGAAATGTGACTCTTACCTTCACCAACTAAAAGCTTTCTTGGCAGCAGCTTTCTGGCTCAAAACTAAAATGTAGGTCTCAATATCATGGAATACTAAGGTATTTCCTGAAGAGTCAAAACCACATGTTAAATCCTAAAATATCAGAAATCTACTGTAAATGGTGTAGATCTGAAATGCTTCTCCTTTGTTTTATAGCATCCTTGTGTATGCGTATTTATTTGCACGAAAGGGTGTTTGTTCTTCAAACAATGGCCATTGTTCAATTTTCTTATTTTTGGTTATATATTTTCTTCTTTTTAAATAACATTTTTTGGAGCTTTTTAAGATTATCACAAATGATAAGAAAAGAATTCATTAATCTCTCTCCCCTGCCCGCTCCCTTGAACATCAATTCAGCCCAGGACCACCAATCATGTTGCTCTGTTAAACTGAACTAGTTCTTCCCTACCAGGCTCAAATCGTTTGAACTAGACTGGAGATCACATGTCTTAGCTATTTTATTACTCAATTAGACAAATAAGTTAACCTATTCACTCCAATTTGAAGTTATTATGATACTACTTTCAACAGGCAGGGAACTAATTTTAGGCACTTCTTCCCTAGTCTTACCTACTTGTCTGTAATTTTGTTAGACAGGGTCTCACTATGTTGCTCAGGCTGGAGCGCAGTGGCTAGTCACAGGCACCAACATAGTGCACCATAGCTTCGAACTTCTGAGCTCAAGCGATCATCCTCCTGCCTCAGCCTCCCAAGTAGCTAGGATATAGGCACGTACCACCGCGTCCGGCTTCTGTGTTATTTTTTTAAAATCACTGTTTCATAACAACTTGATTTTTCCAAGTATATAACTGGAAACTACTGGGCTGACCCAACAAGTCACTCCAATCACTATACCAAAGATGGAAAGCATCACAACGAAAAACCTGATCACCTAATTCAAAATTTCGGTACTGTTCAAACAATAATGATTAAAGCTTTGGAGAATGAATTTCATTCCTTCATAATGGACAAAGATAGTGATCCTGTGAATATGATGAATATGAAGCTTTAAGCAAGTTTATGCTTGAGAAAAGGGCACATGTTTACAAACAGATTTAGATAACTAAGTTTATGCATTTTTATAGAAATGCCTACCTTTCAGAAACAGACTCATCCTGATCCAGTAACAAATTAATCTTTTCACTTGCTTTTTCTGAAGGTTCAGAGTTCACAGAAGTCATTCTTTCAACTGGACTATTAACTGACTTTGGATTCTTATTCAAAATCACAGTTTCTGAAGTTACAACCTGTTAAATGGGTGAGAAAAATGCAGCTGAAGTAAGGTTGCCAACTGTGTCCTTCCACACAAAATTAATGATAGGTAAAATTTCACTTAGAAAATATTATTACATACACGTGGCAAAACATATATATGTATTTCAATAGCTAACCACCATGATTGTGATTTGCCTGCCAAAAGGAATTTTTAAAAACTTAAAAGAGGCTGGGTGCAGTGGCTCATGCCTGTAATCCTAGCACTCTGGGAGGCTGAGACAGGAGGATTGCTTGAGCTCAGGAGTTCAAGACCAGCCGGAGCAAAAGTGAGACCCTATCTCTACTAAAAATAGAAAAAATTAGCTGGGCTTGGTGGCCTGTGCCTACAGTCCCAGCTACTCGAGAGGCTGAGGCAGGAGGATGGCTTGAGCCCAGGAGTTAGAGGTTGCTGTGAGCTAGGCTGAAGCCACAGCACGCTAGCCCAGCAACAGAGTGAGATTCTGTCTTCAAACAAAAAAAATAAAAACTTAAAAGAAATAAAAATGACAGGTCATCCTTCTGTAGTTCATAAGCAGGATTGGGTTTTCACATTTATGTGTGAGATACGCCTCCCTCAAACCTTGTTACGACTTCAGTTGGCACATTACCTGTCTGATGTGGAAAAAGAAATGATGGCATAAATCAACTTCCCAGCTTGGATGGAAACAAGGAAAAACAAATACCTAGGTACTTAGACAACATTTTATTCCTATTATACTTAGTTTTAGGAACAAACACTACACTTTAACAAAACTTTTTACTTTTGTCATACTTCTAATAAAGACCAAAAATAAATCACATTGCCAACTTGTTCTTCCAGTTGATGAGTTTATTTAAAACTTAGAGCTGGAGGATCGCCTGCACTCAGGAGTTCAAGACTAACCTCAGCAAGAGTGAGACTCCATCACTACTAAAAAAAAAACAGAAAACCCTCAGAGCTGAAATATTTAATCCACAACCGCCTTCCATAATCATTTCTTGACAATAACTACTCTGGAAAACAAACTGCCTTCCATTATGACTTTGCAATAACAACTTCTCTGCTCTTTAAAATTCCAATAAAAGCCCACCCTACTCATCCTCAGGGCCAGCATTTCTTCTTCTTTTCATGCCGTGCCCTTTTCTCCCTTAGAAAGGTTTTGAAGCAAAAAGTTTATTTTACTATCTAAATCTTTGAGTCAAGAATCCTTTCTCATGCCACAGTACGAGCACCCCTAATATATACATTAATTCAAAAGGATCAAATGATTGCCCAACTCATGGACTCTTCTAAGGGACAGCATGAAAAAAAATGCAGATACACAAAGGCAGAATTCTGAAATATTATCTTAAATTGAACAGATGTTATATGTAGAAATAGGTTTAAATAACATTGGAAAGCAATAGCAAAAAATATTTGGTATCCTTTCAGTTCCAAGACAAGGTGGTATAAAACTCACTTCTCCCTACTCCTCTCCTCTAACTGCAACATTAAGAAAAAATATTATTATAAAGCTCTAAAACTGTTGAGAACCACCAGGGATGAGAAAAGAATTCATTAATATCCCCCACACTCCCACCTTGAACATCAATCTAAGCCAAGGACTACCAATCATGATTCTTTGCTAAATTAAACTACTACTTCCCTACCAGCTCCAAATACTAATTAACTCTGAAAGTTACTTTATGTAAAGAAAAAGGTAGACTTTCTAAGTTTTTTTTTTTTTAATTCTCTATATATTCTTCACTGGGTGCCAAGGAAGCCAGGGACCCATCCTTCACCCCAAACCTGTAGCAGTGGTGGTCAACCCCTGACTCCATAGCTGCAGAATCAGGGGGCCCAATTTACCACAGCAGCACTGTCAGCTGGGTCCCCACCTGACACCTGAGGCAACGGAAGGCCCAATCCACCACTGACCATAGACCGTTTCCTGAACTTCCTACTCAACAGCAGCACCTGAATGAAAGAAAGTGGAGCCAGAAGCTGACCAGTATAGCACCAGAGAGTTCTTAAAAGTCAATTGTCATTGTAACTACAGCTCACAAGAGGTGGTCAGGATCTATACACTAAACCAAAACAGGTTTAGCCTGCATATGCTAAGAATCATAAGCCTAACCTCCTCAAAAAGCCCTCTGTGTGACTGAATACTGTGAACTTTTGACTAAACCTAAACAGGGTAACTGCCTGCTGAAATAGAGTCCTAGCCTAACCTCAAAGAACCCTCAGTGTGACTGAATCATGTGAACTTCTGAGCTTTCCAAGGCACTAGCAAAGAGCTATCCAGCAAAACCCTTGGCTTTCTCTACGGAGCATGCTTTTCTGACAGTGAACTTCCTAGAATCTTTTGCAATCTGGAGAGTGAGAATTTCCCAAATCATCAAGTCCTGGTTCTTTTTTACTGAACAGTTCCTCCTTCAATTCATCTCTTTCTTCTCACATCTTACTGTAAGAAGCAAGAAGAAAGTAAGCCAATTCTTCTATACTTTGCTTATAAATCTTGTCAGCCTGAAAAAATCCAAATTCATTGCTTACAAGTACTGCTTCCTACATAAACTGTAGGACTGAGGTCCCCAACCCCTGGGCAGACCAGTATGGTCCATGGCCTGTTAGGGAATGGGCTGCAGAGCTCTGCCCGCCGGCCCCCCAGACTTTGTCCCTGTCCGTGGAAAAATTATCTTCCATGACACTTAGGAAGAGGGGTAGGGGGCGCACGGCAGGAGGTGAGCAGTGAGCAAGGGAAGCTTCATTTGTATTTACAGCTACTCGGCATCGCCACCTGAGTTCCAGTCCCCGTCCCCCACCACCATCAGTGGAAAAATTGTCTTCCATGAAACCAGTCCCTAGTGCCAAAAAGCTTGGGGACCACTGCTGTAGGACACAATTCAGCTAAGCTTCCTACCACTAAATAACAATAATTTTATTTCCTTCAGTTTCCAATAACATGTTCCTCATTTATCTTTTTGAGTTCTCACCAACAGTGCTTTTAATATCCATTATTTCTACCAACAGTCTGTTTATGAAGATTTGGTATTCTCTAAGCCTACGTAGGTTTTCTCTACTGTGCTCATTTCCTTCTGCACTTTCACTGCAAGTCTTCAACTTCCATATTTTTACTAAAAGTCTATTCAAGGCAATCTAGGCTCTTTAAAAATCATGTCCCTCAAAATTCTTCCAGCCTCTACCCAGTACCCCATTCCAAAGCCACTTCCATATTTTTAGGTATTTGTTACAGCAGCACACCACACTTCCTGGTACCAAATTTTTATTAGTTTCCTGAGATTACCTTAACAAATTATCACAAACTGCCTGGCTTAACACAACAGTGATTTATTCTATCACAGTTCTAGAGGCCAGATGTTTGAAGTCGTTTTCACTAAGCTGAAATCAAGGTATTGGTATTCCTTCTGGAGGCTTTTCTCTAACTTCTAGAGGTGGCCGGCATTCCCTGGCTCAAGGTCCCTTCCTCCACCTTTAATGCACATCATTCCAACCTCTGTTTCCATTCTCCTTCTTCTGCCTTTGACTTTCTTACCTCTTCTTTTATAGGGACCCTTGGGAGTATACAGAGCCCACCTAGATTATCCAGGATAATCTCCCCATATCAAGGTATTTAATCTCATCACATCTACAAAGCCCATTTTACCATGTATTCATAGGTTCTGTGGACTAGGTCATGGACATCTTTTGGGGGCCACTATTTAGTCTTTCTCAGCTATAGAAGGTCTGAACAGCACTAACAAGCACCTTGGCACAATTAACAGACAAGTGACATTTACAGAACATTACAACCAACATTCTATGCAAGGAACATTCACCAAGTGAAATCATTTGCTGGCCTATAAGTGTCAATAACTCTTAAAATTTGTTTTACCTAGGATGTTCTCTGAATAAAATTACATATCAATAAAAATAAGAGCTACAGGCCAGGCGCGGTGGCTCAAGCCTGTAATCCTAGCACTCTGGGAGGCCGAGG